TTTAAGCAGAACCAAATGGAAGCTACCGATCTACTCTCAAATAAAAGCCATAACATCATTTCATTGAACAAGAAAAATGACAAAAATTGATCAAATCTTAAAAGAAATTAAACCCTAAAAACAATAATCACAGCCTCCAACAATAATAAGAGCCTTCCTTCGTCTTCCTTAAATCTCTACTTGCGCAAGCCACGAAAGTAACCTGAGGGATCACCTTCCAAGTCATCTCTGAATATACGATAGTCCCTTCCTGGAGCTTTGATCGTTTTTCTGCTCTTCGAACCAGAACCACAAATACCTAACACACTTCCAATGATTCCAACAACAAGAACAGCGACACCTACAACAACAATGTCACTAACCTTAACCTCCTCTTTCACTTCACTGCTCTTCGACTTATCTATTCTTCTACTTCGTCTTAAGAAGAGGGTCGCTGAAATGTCTGGGAAGATGTATAGAGGCGTGCAATAACTTAACATCAGTTTAAATTAATTAATTTTCTCAGTTATTTGTGGATAATGGAGACTCTGTTACAAATAATATTCCATTCCAATTTTTCATAAGTCGAATAGATGCCTGCAAGCTTTAAAGGAGATCACGAATTACGAATAGGGTCGTGTTGTACGAGAGTGACATATACTACTTGATTGATATGCAGTGGGATTGAGAGAGAACTTTTGGATTGTTGGAGTGAAGAATTTAAATTTAGATTATATGCTTCTTTTTTTTTTTTGGGTTTTGAAGAGAATGAAAACAACGGAAAAAAAAAATGATGATAAAGTCAAATTATAAAAGTCAAAAGATGGTCTTTAAATTTAGTTAATATCACATATATTGATTAATAATTTTAATCTTGTATAATTTGACTAATTAACTAATGCATATTTATTGCGTTATCTTGTTATCCCAATTATAGGAAAAAGTCAAATAAACTTATCGATTTTTGAACAATGTTATTGTTAATTATAATCACTGATAATTATAATTAACTCACAGGAACAAAAAATGTTATATAATTGAATTTTTTTAAAGATTGCTTTGATTCCCATTTTTACTTCTAATTCTAATAAACATCCTAAATTTTACACGCAAACTCTTGTAACACCACAACTTTTTCCTAGAACTACCATGCGATTATATATATAGGACTCAAGAGTAGTTGATATGCTTATATTAAAAAGAGAATTATATTCAGGTGACACAAAAAAAAATTAATTACTATAAAGTCCAGTGATAACTGAATTACGAAGAATGATTGTATTATCAATCTTTTTAGTTTAATTGTCATTGAACCTTCTATTAATTAATTTTTTGTGTGAAACTTCAATATAATTCTTCCTAAATTAAACTTGTAGAAAATGTTTTGCTTTCTAATTTTATTTTAATTTTCACTGAAATTATTTATCACAATAAAGTGCTGTCCATAAAAGTTAAAAGCATGCCAGCTTGTTAAAATTAATGAAAGATTTCATCCCAAAAAAAAAAAATGATGAGAGATAATATTAAAAAATTGCAAGTTTTCTTTGTATTAAGATAAGATGAAGATTAGATAAGATAATATCAAATAGAGTTTTAAAACTTTTTCTTCTATTAATTGATAATTAATAATTGAGTCCGAAATGAGCAATAACATTTACCCATCATATGATATGGGGTTGTTGGGCCCAACAATATCACAACACAACAATATCACTCTCGTCAATTCTACCAAAATAAAAATCAAGTGTTTTGGAGTTGTTGGGCCCCCAAATACACAGGGATCAATGTCATTTGGGGTGCCACTACTAATGCCCTTGAAATTAAAAATTAGGGACGACATATTTCTTTATCCTCATAATTTTAACATGTCTTGCATAAATTCCTATAATTGTGTTCACTTTTCATTATTCTAGGTGCCTCTAATTTATCTTGCATTCAACATTTTTTCATTTGTTTTTTAATATGACCAAAAGGATGATGAGATAGTACTGACATCGTTAATATGTACTAAATAGAATTATGATTCAACATATTAAGAGCATTGTCCACCCAATTCTTTTTCAGGTTGCAGGTTTTAATCTGTTGAAGTATAATCCCACTTCAGTAAAAAGATTAAGAATGAAAGGATATAATTCTCTGCGTTCTATAATTTGATTTTGTACTCAAGCTATGCTTGCCCACTTTAATTTTTTTTTAAAGGCTTTTGACTTCCGAATTATTGAATCCGTTTGAAAATGAACTATCCAATGGTATTTTAATTAGGTTTTGGATATGTTACCCATAATTAGGTTTTTAAATTACATATTTTACCTCACCTAAATTAGATTAATTAATTATAAGCTTTTCATTTCCGGATTTATTTAATCCATTCGAAAATGAACCATCCAACCATATTTTATTTGGGTTTTGGATATGGGGCCCATAATTAGTTTCCTGAATTAGATTCATTATACGCTTTTAATTTCGGGATATATCAATACATTTGAAAATAACCATCCAACGGTCACAAAACCACTAGCCGTTGAGTTTTTTTAAAACTATAAAACATGACGCTCCTGGTCTCCACGGACAAATAGCCACAGTCCTCATAGTCTCAGTAGTATTACATTCTCTCAATCCCCAGAGTGGCTACAGTCTTCTGGGTTTATCAACAAAAATTGGTGATTCCTCTCATGAGAACAACCCGATCTCCGTCAAGCCCACAAGCTTGGAAGGTAAAATATTCTTATGTTTGAATCAATTTATGTAATTGGAAATTAAAGTTTGAAGGTTTACGTTTTTCTTCCTTCTGTTTCGGATTAAATATTAGGAGAGCCATAGAAACTCAGGGTATCTCCTGAATCTTTCTCTCTTAGGGTTACCCCATGTGTTAGTCAAATCTCTCCGACCGTGATCACCGAAGGCGGTTGAAGTGTCATCGGCGGCTACTGGTTTTGTTTTTGGTAAAGCGCGACATCTGGATTTACTGCAGAAAGTTTGGGGATCAGAGAACTGGATCGAATCGTGGTAGAAATTTGTGGTGTCTACGTACTATTCAGAACTGGATCTTTGCCTTCTTTCACCAAGATAATTAGATCATCTTGCTAGAGGCCATGAGTGACCAGCCATACTACAATCGACAGCTTCTGAAGAATGTCTCCGGATAATTGGATCGTGATGGAATAATTTACAATCTAGAGGCTATGGGTGGACAGGATCAGCCTATAAATACTGCAATTGAGGTAAAGTTATTTCAAACCCTTCCTCATGGAAATAACTCAGATATGGGTCTATCTTTGATGTTTTTAGATTTTTGATTCATGGATTTCTGCGTTGGGTGATTATAAGATGTTTTGGAATTATAAGTTGGATGCTGTTAAAAATTTTAATATTGATGTGAAAGAAGATTTTTATATTTTGGTGTGTCCTGATTTGGCTGATCCGTTGAGAAGACCTGATGGTTAGAATCAAGGGTTATTTTTATGAGAGTGTTTGAGTTTTAGATAAGGGCCGAGCCCGCCCGTTCTGAGTCAGAAGGTACCATATTTCTACTTCAGACTATCTGCTGAATTTGGTATGCTAGTGCTTTGTTTTTGATATTTTACTGTCATAAGATTTTTTTTTTATCATAAAAAATGTATGTTTGGCTGCGGTTTTGGCCTAGAAGAGATTTATTCTTTATTGAATTGAGAAAACAGAGACTTCAGGATTTTTTAGAAAAAATATATTTAGAATAGTGAAGGAAATTTAACGGGAAGCATATCAACTGTGGTAAAATCTTTAAGTGGGTTATATTTTCCGTAGAGTGGCTTTTATGAGGCTAAAAAAGGAAAATGCCGTCTTGGATTTGGTCTAGCATTATTGAAGGAAGAAGAGTGTTATAGAAGGCGAGAGCCTATTTTATTGTAGTGATATAGAAATTGTAAAAAGTCTGTGAAACTTGGCTGGCTAGAAACACTAGAACGAACACATATTCCTTCTTTGTGATTGGTCAAAATGTGCATGGTTTGGTAGCTCTTTATCTTTTATTTGTTCCATTGAATATATGTATACATATGAGAACTTTTGAGAGCTGGCTTCATATATGTTCATTAAACAAAAACTGGATGATTGGGAAAAAGGGTTAGTTGCCATGACTTTATGGCAAATATGGAAATATATATTTCCTTGGGTATATGAAATAAAGAACCCTGATCCTATATTTACTCTTCAGAAGCTGAAACCTGGAATACGTTTAATGTTCTGCTCATAATATTTTTGCCAAACAAGATCAGAGAATCTCTTGGATAGGTAGATCCTAAAGGAAATGAACTGAAAATCCAACACTGTTTCTTAGATTCAAAGGATCTTGCTTGTGACTAGCTTTGCTTTTGTTTGTACTGTCTGAACTCTCTTTGTTGATTGATTGATTCTTACAATTGATGTTGCCGGAGGCCACATGTACATTGCTTCCCAGTTAATCATTAATTATTCTTAGTAAAGATGGATAAAACATCTTGATTTATTGTCAATCGTGAGATTTGCTGCAGAAATTGCTCCACCAAAGCAACCTTTCTCTCTCTCTTCGTGTTTTGGTTAACCTGGATAGGCCTTTTTATATTTCCTATGAATTCTCTTAGTCACAGCTTTTGAACCAGGTTTCTTGCTCGATATTATGCTATGATAATGATTATTTATTGTTCTGTGTTGGATTCAAACAGGAAAATAAGAAGTCAAACCCTTCAACTTTAAACTCAAATATATTTGGAAAATTCATCTGTTGAAGAACACCAAGTCCGCAATGGACCACCCACTGCAGGCTAAACTAGATCCTATGGTATAGATATCTTTTTCACTTTGTTTTCCTTCAAATCTATTTCAATTTCAAATTCAGTGCAATAATAATCAATTCTATGTCGTTCGCAGATTAAATAGAATTCTTCTTTGTTTTGTCGTCTGCTTTTGTTCTAATTCTGACATCAATTATTTTTTATCATATTATTCCTCACCCAGAAAAGATGAATGAGATTTGTGAAGAGAAGATTGTTGATCCAGTGGATTGACCAACTACGATGTGAGCGTACATCATGCTGCTTTTTCTCTATTTCTGTCTCTGTCTACATACACCTGCAAATAAACTTATGCACATACATACTCACACTCTTGATTAGGATGGCTAATTCACTGTGATAAAATTCAGCAGCTGCAATGTACGAATTGAGGTTATCATAACTTGTTGGAAACGTTTAAAAATAAAAAATTTGAAAATCACGTTGCACACCGATAAGTCAAACAAGGAAATATAACCATTATAAGAAGTGTATGAGTGAATCAATCAACTTTTGAAGGAAGAGTGTTTAGAAGGCAATGTTATTCTCAGCATTGGTAATGGAAAGGCTACTCGTTTTTGGAAAGATCTTGGCTGCCAGGTAAGCACCTATTTTCTCTTGTTTTGTTCTTTTAAGGATTTGAAAAATATGCCACTTATAGCTGAAGTTTTAAAAGACAAGGGTGAGTTTTTGAGGTAATTAATGAGAAAGATAGGGTAAGGGGAATTTATGACACTAAAATTGCTGTGTTTTTATTCTTCTGGGCCAAGGAGAAGAGAGAGATAGGTACCAGGGTTGCATCATAGTATAAAGTTCACCTAGAATTATGAAGGAAGAGTGTTTAGAATGCTAAGGCTATTCCTTCTTTTGTAAATTTAGAAACATTGGGAGGCCAATTATAGTCTTTGTTTAAAATAACTAAAAGAAGTGATGGGATATAAGAAATAGAGACCAGCAGAAAGACATACTTTATTGATATGAAAAGCTTACAATGTATAGATGAAACTAATAATAATCAATAAATATCCTAAAAATATTTAATAAACAGAAAATATTTCCAAAATCTATAAATAGAATAATAAATCTTAAAGGAAAATAAATGTAAACAAAATAAATCTTCATAAATAATATATCCTAGCACTTTCCCTTACACTCAAGATACTTTTTAATTTGTAAAAGCTTGTATTGATATGAAGATTCTAAACAAAATCTTGGAGTGATTCTCGAAAGATGAATCACTAGGCAAAAAATTTGGGAGTGATTCTCACAGGCATGAATCACTGGGCGAAGAACTTGAGAGTCAAGAAATAAGGTATAGTCGAATGCATTGGCTTCTCTTAATCTTAGCGGAAGTGATTCTCGAAGGCATGAATCACTGGGCGAAAGGAAAACTTGGGAGTGAAAAAGCAAGGTATGGCTAGAACAGACTAGCTTCTCTTAATCCTCGACAAACTCGAGAGTGATTCTCAGAGACATGAATCACTAGGTCGCAAACTTTAAAGTGATTCTTGAAGGAATGAATGATTAAGCCAAAACTTTCAAAGTACGGTATTGAAAATCAAATTGGTCATTGAACTAGTCAAAACATTGGGACAAGGGTTAATGATTCAACCGGAGGTCAAATTGAAATCAGACTGATCATAATAAAATAATATAATTCAAATAACAATGCATTAATCCTTAATACATTCATCAATATTCAAGACTTAATATCTTATACAACATAAAATAATAATTCAAGTGATAATAATATTAGGTAGAAAATATAGTAGTAAAACTTTTTCTTAAAAATAATAGGAATAAAATTTAAGAGTTAAAATATAAAATATAAAAAATAATTAAAAAAGAGATATAAAAAACCATCTAGAGTTAAAAAAATAAATATATATTATAAAATGATATACTACGTAAACATATACTCCTTTCATTCAAAAATATAAAGTATTTTTAACCGAATCTCACCCCTTATCTTTTTATATTTACCCTTATTAAACACCTTATAATAAATAAAAAGTCATTATTAACATGAGTACTTTTGAAAAAAAAGATAATGATTACACCTTAAAAAAATTAAAAATGTCTTACATTATTAAACTTTTAACTTCTCATAAAATGCTTTATATTTTTGAACGGAGGGAGTATATAATTTTAGATTATAAAAATAAAATAAAATACAATTTCAAAATAAAATACTCATAAGGATGCCAAGTGGATTTCAAAATTGTTTAAATATGTAAAGCAGACGTGTAGCATTAAAAATGTCAATTGAGAAATGACATTGCACCTACTACTATTCCTTTATATTTGTTTCATATCTGCTCAGTCTCTCTCATGTTTTGCTCCTCAGGTTTAGGGGTGCACATGGGCAGGGCTAGGCAAGACCCTGCCCGATGCCCAGCTCGAAAAATGAATGGGCTACAAAATGTAGCTCGATGCCCAACCTTGCCTGCAAAATGCCCTATTAGTTTGGGCTGGGCAGGGCTGGTTGGGCAACTTTGGGCTGCCCAGCCCATCAAATAATTTCCCTGCCCATAAAATCACAACCCTTCTTATCATTTCAAAATAAAACTATCACAAATCAACAATAATAACCCCATACATCAACTCAAAATAGCATCCATAAAGCCATAAACTATAAATCCACAATAACAGCCACAATATCCAATTATTCATAATTCAATATTTAACTTGAAATTTAAAACTATCACAAGTCTTGGCACAATATCAAAAATAGCTATCATTCAAAATAACAAAAGCTTGGAGCATCATATGAGAAACAACAATGTCAAAGAGTAGGCTTCAATTCACAAAAAGCTTCTTCCCAATTCCTAACCTGTATGAATAGAAGAGGAAAAATATGTCATAACTAGACAAAAAAATTGCAAGAACATACATGAAAATTTAAAGAAAAATGGGAACCAAAATATGAGAGAATTAACAACAATAATATATAAGTTTGCCAAAAAATTAGCAAGAATCATAGAAATGTTAGCAAGAAACTAACAGAAAAATTAGCAAAAAAGCTACTTCTAAAGAACCACTTTAATCAGCACTAGCTGCTGCATTCTCCCCTCCAAGTGTTGCATCTGAAGACAAAAAAAAACAATTACATTAATATAAAAACTAAAGTAAGGGGTATGCATGTGCATGTGGCAATTATTAAACTTTAGAAAAAAAATATTACTTATAAGCTGAATGATATTTTCTGTCTCATTAAAGTTATCAAACTCTTGAAGCTTATCAACTAACTCAAAGAGAGATTGCCCACTATGCAGCCAATTTTGCCCACAAATCAGTGCTTCCATCATTTTAGGAGATAGAGTGCTCCTATATTGATCAACTACATGTCCACCAGTACTAAATGCAGACTCAGAAGCCACTGTAGAAACCGACATAGCTAATACATCTCGTGCCATGTAGGAGAGAATTTTATATTTTTCAGAGTTTGCTTTCCACCATGATAGTATATCAAACTGAGAATCAGATGATGAGATTTCAGCTTTAAAGTCAGTTGCAAGATATCTATCCAACTCACTTTGTGGATCCATTAAAGTTCTTTGTTTCAAAGACTCTAACCACATTGCACCTAGATCCTCAATGTCGTCATCATCATCATCATTAAGAGAGGGCAATAAGCTTGTAGATGCATTACTAGGCCCTGATTCAGTAGAAACCCTCACAGAATACTCATCGAATAATCGATACAAATAAGTTTTGACCTTATCCATCATCAGTGCATATTCTTCAGGGTTATTGAAAAGGAGTTCAAACATGTAATTTACATAAACTAATTTATACCGAGGATCCAAAATCACAGCCACAATCAATAATAGATTCATATTATCTACTTGACCCCAATACTTATCAAACTTCATATACATCTTAAAGCTCATATCTACTAAAAAGTATTACCATTGTTTCCAATATGCTTTTGCAACATTTGTTAAACACGAGCAATTTGATGGAAACAATCATTTGATGTTACCATAAGGGAGCTTGAAAATTTCAAAGTTATGTCATAAAAGACCTTTAAGAATTTGATAAAGACTTTAGCATTTTCTCAATCATCAAGAATAGGGCTAGAAAAAACACCTCCCTCTTGCTTAGAGTTAAAGAATGCAATATAGTCATCATCTTCATCACGCATCCGCTCAAACACCTTTTGAAACTTCATTGCAACTTCTAACATCAAATATGTTGAATTCTATCAAGTGCTAACATCAAGGTAGACAAGGCTCTTTGTTTCTATTTTTTCAAATTCAACCTAATTTTTAAACTTTAGAAACCATGAAGGAGAAGATCGAACATATCTCACAGCACTTCAAATGGCTTCAAAACTATCTTTCATGTGTTTGATGCCTTCATTGACCACCAAATTAAAAACATGTGCATAGCATCTTAATTGTAGATAATCTCCTCCACAAATTAAGCCCTTCCAACTTCTCAACCTCCTTTTAAAATATCCCAAAGTCATGTCATTAGATGAAGCATTATCTATAGTTTTGCTAAACACCTTATCAATACCCCAATCCAACAAGCATTGCTTAATGGTCTTCCCTATAGTCTCACCTTTATGATTTTCAATCATAACAAAACTTAGGATCCTTTTGTGAAGCTTCCATTTCGTCAAACATAAGTAATTCAAATTTTGGTTTGACGTCCAGCAATCTATCGTGAGACAAACACACTTAGAATATTGCTTAAAGATCTTCTTTAGCACTTTTACTTCACCAAGATATAGCTGCCACACATCCCTCACAATTGTTGTTCTTGAATGGATTGGAAAGCGAGGTTCAAACTCATTCAACAATTTCTTAAATGCAGGCTTCTCAATAATTCTAAATGACTACTCATCATAAATAATAAATTCAGTAAGAGCTCTTCTACACCTTTTCTCATCATATAAGTAAGTGACTACAGATTTTCCTTGCCCTCTTGTCCTACCAAATAACAAATTTATGATTGCTTTTTTCTTATCTTTGGTGGCCTTATGAGGGTTCTTTGAACACTTTAGGATGTGCCTCAACAAAGAATGTGTCCCATGGCATGATGGATCAGAAGCATAAGTCGTGTGGCAATACTTGCATGCTGCTCTATGCTTTCCCCATTAGTTTCTTCTATAGGCAACCTAATAAAGTAATCCCACACCTCTTATGTATGTTCGGGTTCCTTTTCTTTCCCTTTTCTACCCCTTCTCTCAGCATCTGTCACTTGTGTGACATGTTCTGTAGGTGTTTGGGTGGGA